TGGTGAAATTGCAGGTGGATTTGAATACACCTATAATGGTCGAAAAATTTACTCATTCTTAGGCATACCATATGCAAGTCCTCCAGTTCAAAACAATCGATTTAAAGTATGTTAAAAACATTTCTTTATATTCGGAGACAATTAAAATTATATAGAGTATTATTTTTACAGGAACCACAACCCGTACGACCTTGGTTAGGCGTATGGAATGCCACTATTCCTGGAAGTGCTTGTTTAGGACTGGATTATGAATCAAATTTTAAAATTGTCGGTCAGGAAGATTGTTTATATCTCAACGTTTATACGCCAAAAGTAATCAATCGTTTATTATTATTTAGTCCTAAATTAAATACGCTGTTTCTTTTTATGACTATATTTAAAGCATTTTGAAAATATATGATCTCAAAACTTAAAAATTACATAAGCAAAAATCTGAGCTTGTATACCTATCAATTTTGCTATTTATTATTGTTTTTAAATCTATATTCTGATTTTATTAAATAACCCATTACCACAAAACGGCATCGCAATATACATAAAAATACAAATTAAAAAGTGTAATTTAATTTATTAAACAGCTTCCACAAGATAATACGCTTGGTGATTTAATGAACGTAGTAGTGCACATACATGGCGGCGCGTTCATTGGTGGTGAAGGCATATTATATGGTCCACGGTATCTTTTGGACACCAACGATTTCGTTTATGTATCGATAAATTACCGTTTGGGTATATTAGGATTTGCCTCCACCGGCGATAGTGTTTTGCCTGGCAATAATGGTATGAAAGACCAAGTAGCAGCATTGAAATGGATACAGCAAAACATCATTGCGTTCGGCGGCAATCCCAATAATGTCACTATCACTGGCTTGTCGGCTGGTGCAAGTTCTGTTCATTACCATTTGATTTCCCCAATGTCTAAAGGTATGTGTAAATGTGTGCTACATTCACAATCTTATTTCAATCTACTAAAAATAAAATTATATTTTATATCGTAATCCGCAGTAGGTACACAATACGATATGTGCAATAAGACATTTTTTGAGAAAGCTGCAGTGTTAAATTATTACTCGCACAAACAATGTTCAAAACCTGTAATTTTAGAGGTTTATACTTATTTCAAAATACATTCACTGTTTACCTGACTTGACTCTCCTATTTTTAATACTAAAATAATTACTAAGTAGTTACGTTTAGTGTAGGTGATATATTGTCCGATATTGGTGTAATTTACAATGTCTAGATAAAGTTTAGATTTTATAAATGTGAATAAACATAATAAATTTATTAAACAATATTGCAATGAATGTTGAACTACAATATCCATACATTTTAATTAAAACATTCATCTTATTATGTTTATATTTTGTCATATACATTCTAATCTCGACATCTCGAATCTCGCGGGGACAGTAAATAATTTAAGCTACGTGACTTGACTATTTTTGAGAATAAGGAGAGAACAGAGAACGTTTCTAACCAACATGTTTAAAACAATGTAAAAACGTTTAATATTTATACCTTCTGTACTTCTATATAGATTTATGATAGTCGTAACATAAATAATTATTTGATTTAGTTGAAAATTAATAATATGTGGTCTACTTACCTCTTCGAGAATCCTCTACATCAGGCATGTAAAAACTTACAAATTATAAACTTAAAGGATGCCACTACATTTTATGATTTGGTTAATATAAATGGCTATTGGAAAACTAAATGTTTTTGACATAATACTGAAGTAGATTGCCATCGACGGAATTTTATATCTCTGTCTTACAAGAAGTGCGTTATGGAGCCAATAAACATCCAAAGTTCATGTTAAATTTGGTAATTAAAATATTAGAGGTCAAGAGAGTGGTTAAGATTCGAGAGAAGTGACCTAATTATGATCAAACTCAAAGATGACTAAAATATCTATTTTTTTTTTTAAATATTTTAACATTGAAGTAAGTTATGATTATTTTTCAAATATAATAATGTTTTACACATAGTTCATTATGAACTTATGAAGAATTGTAGTCGCACTGATGATATACATTTTTATAGTATATAAATATTTTTATGTTTTCAGAATTATTTAATCGAG